TCATTGCTGGGACAAATACATGACACCCAAACTGAAGGAAGGAAAGGTTTATTTAGCTCACAGTTAGTGGAGGTTTCAGACCATATTCAACTGGCTCTAAGACAGAGTGGTACATGACACCGAACAAAAATCATTCATGGCAGTGGCAAAGAACAAAGGAGCAAATGGGAGGAGTAGCAGCAACAATGGCAACAGAGAGCAAGCCTGTCTCCCTTACGTTTCACTCAGGCTATCTGCCCCAGGCTGGGTACAGCACTCACACCCACAATCCCAGTGGATCATAAGTTAATCACAAACTCTAGCAACGCCCCATGACTGCATGAGGCTTTGGGGGAACAACTAGACACAAATCATAACAGTGGTGACGCACTTCTATGATTACAGCACCATGGGAGCCCAAGGCAGGAGCATGACAAATACAAACCCAGCCTGAGCAATCTGGGGATGTAGCTCAGTATGAACATCCGGGGTTTAGTCTCAGTCCCAACCCCCACAAAAAATGTAAAATTTGATCCAGCATGGTGGAAGGCATGCCTGCAATCCTAGCACCCATCTGGCTAAGGCAGGAGGACCTCCAGTTTGAGGCCATCCTGAGCAACTCAGTGAGACCCTATCTCAAAATGCAAGCAAGAGAAAGAGAAGGAGGAAGGAAGAAAAGAAGGAAGGGAGAGAGGGAGGGAGAGAGGGAGGAACAGAGGAAGGGAGAAAGGGGGAGGGAAATTGAAAACTCATCACTTATATGATGTTAGGGAAAAGCTTAATTATGTAACATAAATGTTATATAAATTTACAGATGCATGTGGGTGTTTGAATCCTATAAGTGTAGCAGAAAATGCCCCCAGCCAGTCTGTCAGTTGTCCAGGTGACAGTTCCTGTTACAGTTCCTGTTGCTTCTGTCATTGTGATGCATATTGTAAGAACCAATCAAAGATAACCAAGTACTCTACCTCTGTACTCCCTCTTTGCAATTCCATAAAATCCTTCTTCCCTGGACCTTTTAAGGCCTGACATTTTGAGGAACAATTGATTTCCTGTCAGGGCCTGTTGACATAAAATTAATCTGCCTCCAAATCTTGGGTGTCTTTTCAGCGTTAAGGATTAAGTGAATTAAAATAAAAACACATCAAGAGTGACTACATGAGGGGCCGGGGAGATGGCTCAGTAGAATAGGCGCTTGCCTGGCAAGCTCAAGGGCCTGAGTTCAATCCCCAGTTCCACACACACACAAAAAAAGAGCGACTACATGAAAAAATGTTTGTCACTAGCTGTTTAAAAAAATGAGAATTAAAACCACTGAGATTCCATCTCACTCCAGAAATAATGACTCTTATCAAAAAATCAAAGCCAGGCATAGTAGCACATGCCTATAATATTAGCACTTGGGGAGCAGAGACAGGAAGATTGCTGTGAGTTTGAGGTCAGTCTGGGCTACAAAAGAGTTTAAAGCTAGCATGAGCTATATAGTGATGCCTTGTCTCTAAAAAAATAAAATCATTTTTAAGAACTCAACCACTAGCCAGTAGTGGTGGTACATGCCTGTAATCCCAGCACTTGGAAGGCTGAGGCAGGAGGATTGTTGAGAGTTCAAGATCAGCCTGGGCTACAAAGTGAGCTCAAGGCCTGTGAGACCTTATCTCAAAAAGAAAAAAGAAAAGGAAAGGAGAGGAAAAGAGAAGAAAAAAAATCAACCACTATAAATGTCATGAGGCTGTGGGGAGAAAGGAACCCCTGTCCAATGTTGATGAGAGTGTAAACTGATACAACTAGTATGGAAATCAGTAAGAGTACAAATTGCACTTGACCTAGCTATTCCCCTTCTAGGTGTCTTCCCAAAAGAATTAAATACATCGTACTACAGCCATACATACATACTCATGTTTATAGCACTGCAATTCATAATAGCTAAATCTTGGAAATAGCCCATATGTCCATCAACAGATGAGTGGATAAAAAATATGTGGTATTTATACACTATGGAGTATTACTCTGACATAAGAAAGGATAAACTTGATTCATTTGTGAGAAAATGGATATAAGAAATAGATGCACCTTGAAACCTTAATGATAAATAAAGACACCCAAGCTGAAATAGCACATGATTTCTTTAAAAGCTATTGTCATCTAGAGGGGACAGTGTTTCTAAAAGTGTACCTTTGGTTAGTGTGACAGTCTTACATGTTTTATATGTTCTTTGGTCTATTAGTCTGTTTCAATCTGTATATATGATAATTTACTCTATAAGCTCCTATAAACACATTATTCTGATGCTGGAAAAGTAAGGGGGAGTCGAGGGGGCAAGGGGGGCTGAAATGTGTTATGTCCATGTACCGACCCACTACAGTGAATGCAGTCATGCACTACAAACATGTACAAATAGAAGGTTAAAAAAAGAGAGAGAGGGGCCGGGGAGATGGCTCAGTGGAATAAGCGCTTCCCTGGAATAAGCGCTTCCCTGGCAAGCACAAGGGCCTGAGTTCAATCCCCTGTTCCAAAAAAAAAAAAAAAAAAAAGAGAGAGAGAGAGAAATTATAAAATTCTATATAAATGGGAAGTGATGAGAACCAAAAAACAGGGCCTGGGAGATGGTTCAGTAGAATAAGCACTTCCCTGGCAAACTCAAGGGTCTGAGTTCAATCCCCAGTTCCACAAAAAAAAAAAAAAAAGAGAGATGTAGTTTGGAAGTAATGTTTTCCACATGTATAAATTCAACAATTATTCAATGACTTCATCATTTCACTTACATTTCAATATAACTTCTTTAAATCATAGATTTGTATACAACTCTATTTTCATGAATTCCCTAGTGTAGTTTATAAATTTCAAAACAAGAAAAACTCATTCTTTTGTTATAATTGGTCCTGTTTTATTGAAAATACAAACATGTTCTTGATAAATTTGTGTGGAATTTTATATTTTTTGAATGGCAAAGAGAAAACCATTTAAAATGCCTTCAGTCTGGGCACAGTAGTTCATGCCTATAATCCCAGTTACTTGTGAGCATGAGGTGGCCTAGCATGGTCACCTAATAACTTAGTGAAACCCTGTCTAAGAGAGAGACAGAGACAGAGACAGAGAAACAGAAACAGAGACAGAGACAGAGACACAGAGAGACAGAAGCAGAGGCAGAGGCAGACAGAGGAGTAAAACAGAGAGAGAGAGAGAGAGAGAGAGAGAGAGAGAGAGAGAGAGAGAGAGAACTAAGAATAAGGAGGTCAGTGTGAAAGCCTGGGCTCAATTCCCAGAATGAAAAAACAAAATTGTGGGGCTGGAGAGATGGCTCAGTGGTCTAAAGCACCTACTTAGAACAAGCTTAGCAAAAGCATCAGGGACCGCGGTTCAATCCCCCAGCACCACATGCCAGCCAGCCCGCCCCCTGGTGGGCTGAGCTGGCCTCTCTCTCTCTCTCTCTCTCTCTCTCTCTCTCTCTCTCAAATAAATAAATAAATAAAATTAAAAAAAAATTGTTTTCAGGAGTACTTCAGCATAATTCATGACCCTTTCACAAAATAATTTCTTCCTTCATGCATATCATTCTACTAAAACATGGGCCATCAAAATCAAAATAATTTAATAATAATTTATACAGATTTACACCTGAAAAGTAAATCTGATGAGTGTTTCACCTGGAGATTAGAACCAACCACAAATGCACCCAGAAGCGGTGCTTCATGGAGGTGCACAAGACACTGTAGGATGCCAAATGCACCCCATCACACCCAGCTCAGGGGATCCTGCTTTAAAAATAAAATCCAAGAGCCAGGAGTATTGCTCAGTGCTAGAGCACTTCTGGGTTCAAGTACTGAAGAAGAGAAAAAGGAACACTGAAGAGAACCACCTTTTGAAGAGAATTAAATTTTGGAGCTTAAATCAGGAATCACTCTCTCTGTGCTTAAGTAGATGCCAAGGAAATGAAATTTCCCATACATATTATCAGACAGTAGCACAATCAAACTAGAAACCAATGGCAAAAGAAACCACAAGAATTTTCGGGGCCAGGTAGATGATGCAGTAGAATAAACACTTGCCTGGCAAGCTCAAGGGCCTGAGTCCAATCCCCCGTTCTGCAAAAAAGAAGAAGGAGGAGAGGGGGAAGGAGGAGGGGGGAGGGAGAGGGGGAAGGGGCAGGGGGAGGGATGAGGGGGAGGGGAGGGGAGGGGAGGGGGAGAAGGAATGAAGCAGTTTCTATGACCATTATTCTGAGATGATATCAGTGCTGTGTGGCCAGTGAATTTAGAGGATAATTTATTACAAATGTATTAGTTATTGGAATAACTCATGAGTTTCAACAACTATTATCAAGAATAATCAACTTTCCATTGTCCTAAAGAAAGGAAGTATGCCAAACAGTTTTCAGTTTCATTTGGATCTGTATAAAATGTAGTCTATTTGTTTTTCCTCTCTTTCAATAACTCTACTGAGACCTCATTTGGAAAATTATGTTTTGTTTTGTTTTACGCTATTGGGAATTAAACCTAGGGTTCTCTTCTTCTCAGCTACTTCCCCACTCCTTTTTATGTTTTAGTTTGAGTTAGGATCTCACTGTTGACCAGGCAAGACTTGAACTTGGTTTTTGGTTTTAGTTTTCTGAGACAGGGTTTTGCTATGTAGTTCAGGCTGGCCTTGAACTCTTTGTATAGCCCACGCTGGCCTTGAAATTTCCATGATCTTCCTGCCTCAGTTTCCAAAGTGCTGGGTGGACAGGCCTATGCCACTACACCCAACCAAGATGTGAATTTGTGGTCCTCTTTCAGCCTGTGGAGTTGCTGGGATTATAGGCATACATCACTGTGACCTACTAAACTTTAATGTTTTGCACAATTAGTTTATATCTAGGCCCCTTTGAGAAATAATTAGTTTTGTGCCTACAAACTGTATTTAAACTGTGGTTGTTTGTTGTTTCTTAATCAATGCAAAAAGTCATTAAATAACTGTCACTGGAAGCATGAGGGATTTTGCTGCTAGGAATCAAAATGTTATCTGGTGCTACTGAACATATATACCAGTGTTTGCGACATGTAATATTCCAGAAATTATTTGTGGCACCATCTGGGATGGGAGGCCGTCTGCCAATTTATCGCTGCTGTTGAGTTTTCTCCAGTTCATATTGGCATAAGGATATTTAATTCTGCCTTCCAGTATACAAGTAACTACAGAGCAGCCACTCCATAGAACCCTGGAGCTTTCTTCTCTTCCAAGGCGTAAGAGTCTGTCCATCCTCCAGCATGCTTTGGCAAAGGCCTTATGTATATCCTCATAATTACACTTCTGCGCGCTGGCATTTGTTTTTGTAGAAGAGAAGAGGTCTTCTATTGCTGTGTAGTCCTCTCTAAAGATGCTAGCGAAGGCGCTGATTACTTGTTGCTGTGCTGGGGTCATTTGGTAAGAAGGATCAGACGTAGACAATTGGTGGAGAAGCAAAAGCGGGAGTTCTGCGGATGTCAAGTCTGCTGCCAATGTACCCTGATGTCTGTCCAACAAACCGAAAAAACACACATTGGGTTTGTTGCCAAAATTATTTATTATCATGAATTTATCATTCATGTTGGTTTTCTCTGTAGAATTCCTATCTTCGGGCTGGAGAGATGGCTCAGTGGTCTAAAGCACCTACTTGGAACAAGCTTGGCAAAGCACAGGGACCGCAGTTCGATCCCCCAGCACCACAAGCCAGCCAGCCCCGCCCCCTGGTGGGCTGAGCTGGCCACACACACACAATAAATAAATAAATAAATGTTAAAAAAAAAAAAATCTTAGAATGCACTGGTATTTGCTTGTTCCGAAGTAGCTCAAAAGCATTATTAATGCTTTGTAGGACTTTCTCATTGAGCATAAAGGAGGACAACAGGTTAGCAATTAAAACCTGTCTCTGCTCAACAAACATAAAGGGTGGCTGCTTCTTCACTCCCAGCCACTGGAGCCCCAAGGTGGCGAGAGCTGTGTTGCTGTTTGTGCCGGAAAGCGCCAGCGATTTCAATTTCCTGCCTGCATACAGAACAGGGAAAGGTGATTCCTCCAGGCAGCAGGGCTGCGGCACTGAGTCCTGGTAGCTTTGCCTCTTTCTTTCGAAAACTCCTTTTCTTTTTAAGTAGAAATGAAGTATCTTCCGCTGAATCAAATGTTGATTTTTCCTTATCCCAGTCTTTTGAGTTCCAAAATACTCTGCAAAGAAGATGAAAGATAGTTATCGGGAATGAATGATACAGGGGAAATCTCCTCAAGCAGGACCTTGTCTTTGCAATTTGTTTTGGCTCTTCCTAATTCCTGAAAGGCCTGGAGCTGGGTGTGGTGGCGTAGGCCTGTATTCCCAGCACTCTGAAGTCTGATGCTAGAAGACCTTCGTGTGAATTTGAGGCCAGCCTGGGCTACAAAGGAAGTTCAGGGCCAGCCTGCACTGACAGTGAGACCATATCTAAAAAAAAACAAAAAAAAACAAAAAAAAAAAAACCAGGCTGGTGAGATAGCTCAGCTGTCTAAAGCGCCTGCTTAGGCAAGCTTAGGCAGTCACGGTTTGATTCCCAGCACCACATGCCACACCAGCCCTGCCCTCAGGGTGGGCTGAACCAGCCCCCCCAAAAAAAAACAAAAAAAATAGGCCAGGATTGAATATTCTGATTCTGTGACTTCCCTAAAACACATAGTAAGTTTTCAATAAATTAGTGATTAACCTACATGTGCAGAAGGAAACTGGATAAAATATCCACAAACTCAGCCATACATCTAAAAAAAATACACAAATCATATTTTATCACAGGCGTGTGAGAATGTGTTTTAAGCCTGTGAATTTCATTCCAAACAGGGGCATCATTATACTAGCATTCTGTCTTGTCCGGCTTAAATCAGTTTTATTTATATGAAAGGTTCACCAGAAAATAAATGTGCCATGCTAAAACTCTATAGAATAATAAAAGAAACTGACATTTGTAACCCAAAAAGATCTTCTTAAATACCTTAAAGCACTAGTAACGTTCTGCATGCTCCTGTGGGGCAGCTCTTTGCCCTCTCTTTACCGGCTCTCTGTTCTCTTCACTTAGTTGGTGATGGGGTGCAGAGGAGGAGGTGGTGGATGGCGGTGAGGGGCTTCCCAACTTGATATCAGCGCCTCATGTGTAGAATGTTTGCAGCCTCCCCTGGAACCTATGTCTCTGCTCTTTGTGATTCAGAACTGTGAGACAACGAGTCACAAAGTGTGCTCACAGACCTGTCTTTGGAAATTCTAAAATAGAGCTGTCTTCTAGCTATGTAAGATGAAACTGTAAGAAGGGTGACTTCAAGTAAACTGATTTTGTTTTTGTGCTCATGTGTGATGCCTTAAAAATAGTGATTCCCAGAAGGAAACTTTCCTGGACAGACAGATTGCCTTGGCAGCAAGGGCTAAGAGCCTCAGGCCAGCTTCCTGGACCTTCCCTCCTGCCTGCCCCTCCTCTACCCCTATGGACTGAGAACTGTACGTCTTGGCTAGGCTGTTTATTTATGTGTTTGTTTTTGTGATAATAAGGGATGAACCCAGAGCTTTTCCACTGAGCTACATCCTAGACTTTTTTTTTTTAATAAAGACTTTATCTCTCTAAACTGCCCAGGCTGGGTTCAAATTTACTGTTTTGCCTCTTATAGCTAGGATGATGGGCTACCATGCCTGGCCCATCTTTTTTTTTTTTTTTTTTTTTTTTTCCCGGAACCGGGGATTGAACTCAGGCCCTTGCGCTTGCCAGGGAAGCACTTATTTCACTGAGCCATCTCCCTGGCCTGGCCCATCTTTTTAATTTTAGGTTATTTATTTATTTGTTGTCTTTTAAAAAATAAGTATTGGGGCTGGTGAGATGGCTCAGTGGTCTAAAGCACCTACTTAGAACAAGCTCAGCAAAGCACAGGGACCACGGTTCAATCCCCCAGCACCACATGCCAGCCAGCCCCGCCCCCTGGTGGGCTAAACTGGCGACACACACACAAATAAATAAATAAATTTAAAAAATAAGTATTGTTTATTGGATTAAATTACAGTTACTTAACCATCTGTAAGACATATACATCTGATTTTTAATTTTACATTAGGTCACTGCAAATCAGATTTACATACAGCCTTCAAAAGCAGATAACGCATGAAAGTAGGTTTCTAAGCCGGCTAACAGAAATCCACTTTCTTTATCATAAGCAAATTAAGAATCTTAAGTTTGCAGATGTGTAAAACATCAAAACACCTTAGCTAAAAGTCTACTTTTGGGGCCAGGGAAATGGCTCAGTGGAATAAACGCTTCCCTGGCAAGCACAAGGGCCTGAGTTCAATCCCCAGTTCTGCCAATAGTAATAATAATAATAATTAATAATAATAATAATAATAATAATAAAGTCCACTTTTAAGGAAAAAAAGACATTTTCTCACTTTTGGCCTAACTTTCATTCTTCCCAGTGGTACCAAAGCCTCCAGAGCCCGTCATCCAAGCCTTGTACTTCTATCTCTAGGTAAAATAGATCCGTTCACAAATAAGCGAGGCAATTTGATCACCGTTTTTCTTTTCTTTTATCTTTCCTATTTTCTTTTTGTATTTAGGACAGGTTCTACAGGGTCTCACTACGTAGATGGCACTCGGAGTGATCCTCCTGTTTTCAGCCTCCCAAGATCTAGGATTACAGGCGTGCACCGTCATGCCTAGTCTCAATCACTGTCTCAGTGCGCCCCGGGGGCGGGGCTGGTACGTCATGCAGGGAATTGAACCTTGGCTGCTGCGCTCTGCCTAGGCAGGCGCTTTAGTCCACTGAGCTATCTGGCCGGCCCTTGGTCACCCTTTTTCACTTCAAAGTTTTCTTTGCCAAAATTAAACAGCAGGAGGGAGCCAGGTAGATGGCTCAGTGGAATAAGCGCTTCCTGGGCAAGGGCAAGGGCAAGGGCCTGAGTTCAATCCCCAGTTCTGCCAAAAAAGAAAATTAAATAGCAGGGCATGGCAGTGAGAGGCCGGAGAGCTAGGGGAGCGGAGGGCACAAGGGGAGCTTTGATTGTCTTTTTTTTTTTTTAATTTATTTATGGGGGGCAGCTCAGCCCACCAGAGGGTGGGGCTGGCTAGCATGTGGTGCTGGGGGATTGAACCACGGTCCCTGTGCTTTGCTAAGCTTGTTCTAAGTAGGTGCTTTAGACCACTGAGCCATCTCACCAGCCCCTTGATTGTCTTTTTGAGACAGGGTCTTGCTATGCAGCTCAGGCTGGCCTCAAGCTCACTTTGCAGCTCAGGCTGATAGCAAACTCACAGCGACCTGCCTGCCTCAGCCTCCCAAGTGCTGGGATTACAGAAGTGCATCACCACACCCGGCTGATCTTTCTGATTTTTCAAGGCCCTCTCTTCGCTGCTGGCCAGTACGCACGGCTGTGCGCTACTCCCTCACAGCTTGCTGCACACTGAGGAGATCTGCACAAGCCAGCTGTGCTGAACCCCTTGTGGGAATATACCACAGTCCACTCAGTGTCAGGGTGTTCATCACGCAACCTGCTGCCCTTCCTCCAGAACCTTCCCCCACCATCAAAGTGGTTAGGTGCGAAAGTGTATTTCCCAGAATCCCTGAACCTGTGTGGGTCTGGTTAGAGCTGACCAAGGAAGGAATTCGTAGGGGATTTGCCGGACATCATATCCGAGTGCGGCCACTGGGCAGTGAGTTTACCCACTTGCGCAGAGGTGTCCGTCACAGTTCAGCTTGTGCTTGCCCCCATTACTCTGCCTCCAGCTTTTGCTCTGGACCTCAGGTCTTGCTGACATACGTCCTTAGCAGACACTTGCCTGTGACCCGCAGAGGTTAACACTGCCACCCACCTTCCCCAGTAGTTCCCTCCTGGTCTCGTTTCTGCAGCTGCACACCTCTGGCTTCTCTGCAACTGACTGGGACCCCCTGAGCTTCCAACTCTCCTTCCCAGATGTCCAATTGCCCAGTGGTTCCCTCAAAATATACACAGTCTGCTTTCAGCAATAACTGCTTCCCTTTCGTCTCGACCGCCGACATGCCCTCCAGAC